CCCCCCCGGTCCAGCGCGCGCGTTATTTCAACATTTGATCAAGTCGGTAAAAAAATTGGGGGCGTTTGCGATTTTGGTTGGGAGAAACAAAGTATTTTTCATGTATCATCCCGACTCCATTCAATTTTTTCCAATTTCATTCCAAATTTTTCCAAACTTACCTACTTTTACTTCATTTTTTTTTTCGTTCCTGGCAAACGGAAGAAAGGGGGTAGCAATCGCCCCCCTCTTTCCCCTTTTCATTGCTAGAGATTAGAAACAGCAAGTGCGAAAATCCAGCGATGTCATTTTGCTCTTGAATCCAATGTTTCTATGTATTTCAGATCGCGTCCTCAAATTGAACATTGAAGTGGACCAAAAAATAGATACCTACCTAGGTACCTACCTACTGCTCTAATAAGAGTCTCTGGGTGATTTTTCATTTGGACTTTCTCCAATCCTAACAGTAGAGAGAAGTAGGAGATAATAGAGGGCCAAAAAATTACTTCAACAAATTTTTGATGCAATCTTCTGACTTTCCAAAATGTTCAATATCACATTAAAAATTTAATCAAAAAATGTATAACATTTACCAGAAACCAAGTTTCTTAATTTGTAGTGTCCCAAATCTTGACAATGAGCAGCATCAGTTTTTATGAAATTCTACGATAGGTAATTCTTCTTCTTCTTCTTCTTCATGTTATCTACAATAAACAAACTGCTAGCAAGCGATTGCTTGATGGCATTTTCCCCAAAAAACGACCACAATTTTGCCTGGAAATTCAAGATTTTTCTAAATTTGTGCTTTTCTTTGAAGAATGATGCAGAATCAATCTCTACAGGCGATGAAATGAGTTTATTTATGGCTCATGCAGCTGGGAAACTTCTACCTCGCTTTGCAATGTTACAGACTTCTCATCATAGTATACTGGTCTTTCAATCCAAAAACTAATGGACATGATCTGTTTAAAATTTTCAAGATTTACATTTTCTATTTAAAGAATATTCTGCTAAAACTTCAAGCAATAAAGTTGGCTTATTTCTATTCTAGAAAACAATTAAATTAAATTGGAGAGGTATTATAAAACACTTATAATTGAAGAATGTGTTTCTCTGGTGTTGCCATTGACATTCTCGTTCCTTAAGATATCTTCCTCAGAGTCGTCAAACTTATCTATTATTTTGATGGATTCTCTGAATGAAGTAGACTTTTCATCAAACTAGAAACAACTGCGTGAATTTTATTGAAAAATGATGCAACAAAATAATGCACCATTAGACACATTCACAGGCTTTCACAAACAGAGTAAAGTGAATATAGAATCGCGAATGACACTCAATTCGGATAAATACTGGCACAAAATTATTTATACACATACACGGGTCAATTGTATCTAATGTTTACATTTTTCATTCACTCAGATTGCAGAGAGTCTTCTTGGTATCTTGGGTGAAGATAAACAAAAAGAGGTATTTACCCTGAGCAATAAAAAGGGATCTCATTATTATTCCTTAAAAATCTGGATAAAATATTGCTGAGAGCTGTTGCTGCGGGTGATCTCTTAAGGTGAACCTAGACAGTAGCCATGATTAGTTCATTAAATGTCAAACCAACTTCAGTGCGTAACATTCTGAATATTTTCCAGAAACTTTTCAAAAAAATTGAATCTACAGCAAATAAAAATTTGTCTTGAGGGTTTGATAAAAAAACTAAAAATGCACCCATGAGAGAGGAACTTAAGTATGTAAAAATGCGTGTCTCAGTTGCAGTGTTTCAACATCTCTGCTCCTATTTTATTTTTAAAAGGAACTGAACCAAAATCATGGCTTGAAATTTTTACAGGATATTCTTCACAGACAAAAGACAGATCACAAAAGTTTTTAAGAAATGACGTTAAGTAGTTCATCCGTGTAACAAATTAAGTGACAGGACAGGAAGTCTACAATCCCTGCAACTAAGACACATATTTCTGCAGTATCACTATCGATTAAACCTTGGCTGTTTAGTTGATGGTATAAATGACGTAAATACTCCGGCTTATAATTACAGGTACTTTGATTCTAAAACTTAACTTGATGAAATACTTTCGAGATAAAAATCCAGCTCTCACGGATGATATTTTATGAAAGTGCCCCAAGAAAAAACTCAGTAAGTAAACTTCAAGAAATAAAGCGAGCTCAGTATGAATCGATAAATAAGGGAGAAATCAAAATAGGGAAAACACTTGACAACTTGCAACTATATGTACATGACAGCTGGTTGAAATATCAGCTAGATGACTGATTTGAAAAAGAACATAAATGCTAAGCGGACCCCATTCTTCTTTCCTAAATAAACCTTTTCATCAAGGTAGGCTCAGGAGATGAGCTGAGTGCATGAAATTAGATTTTATTTTGAGTTTCTGGTACAATACAGCTTAACGGTTGGATACAATATGACGCAGAAACTCTTGTGATGAGGTAATTATAAAGAATTTTTCAAAAAATATAAAGCTATAAAAACATTATTTATTGTGGTAATTTCTAAGGCATCTATTTAAATGTAGAACAAATCCATCAGCTATTTATTGTTGTCTAAGGTCATGAAAAGTTATGTAAATTTCAACATATACAACCGGAAAAACCGAAACGAGAAAATAAAGTGTACGAGTCAAAAAGTCAACAAACAGCAAAGAATTTCTGGAAATCAAACAGAGTAAGATTCGCATTTTTGCACAATCGTTATCAATTATTTACGTTGTGATAATGAAAAAAATTACTTCAAAAGCAGCACCGCTATTTTTTCCAGCGGTGTCAAAAGAAGAGGCTTGCTCTTTCCATTGAATCATGTATTGAAATCATCAGTTTTAAAAATATAAAAAATAGTTCAAATAGCTGCAGGTGGATAGTTAGTTTTACCATTTTCTAAGGCTAAATTCCTATGCACTTGTTGAAAAACTCAAAGTGCTAACTAACATACAGCATAAAAGGAAAGTGAGAGACTATCACATGAGTCCATTTCATAGCTCACTAGGGTAGTTTTAATCTACTGTGTTCTACGAAATAAAATTCAAAGAAGGACAGCAAAATAGCACAGAATTCTTCACTGTTTGATGATAAAGGTGCAATAAATTTGTTTAAAAAAATGATCAACCTTAAAAAGAAATAAAAAAAAAACTGAGCAACTTTAAAAATGCACAATAGTAATTCGAATAAATATAAATCGGAAAAAATTAAAAACTTATGAAAGTAAACCTGAAAAATTGTAAGACACCTATAGCAATACTTTTTTCACGCAAAATGACTAGTATGTGTGATGATAAAAAATTATAAAATCCAAAAACAAAAATATGCACAAAATTTTTACTTAATTTAAGTTGACTCGAACATTTATGCAAGCTATCAATCTATGTTCATTGGAAGTGTGCGTTCCTCTGTGATCGTTTGGTGCGTTTTTTAGTATCACTAAGAAAACTTATTGAATGAAAAATATAATACTCGAAAATTTCAAAATACGAGCTTAAATAAAATCGAAGACACCATTGTTCTCACAGAATTACAGTTACATGACTGTAAAAAAGAAATGAATTTAGAAAATTCTTCCTTGAAAAGCAATTATTATTTGTTACTGCCTCTAAATACTGTACATACATACTTTCCTTAACAGCAAAAATCTGTTCATGTTTGAAAAAAATAAGAGAAAAAATGGTGACTCAATTTAGAGAGCTTGTTAGATTAATTGATCCTATGATGTTCTGTGTGGAGAAGCTGAGCAAAATATTGTACATCAACTGTATTACTTTACGTCAAAAAAATATTTTTAAATTTTAGATGATTCTTCTATGGATACACAATTTTTCAGTAAGCGTGAGAAATCTTGATCTTTCATATTCTATAATTCAGTCTTTCATGACAGATGCTGTATAATCAAAATACTGAAGGATTTCAAGTTTAAATGACACAAGATGAACACAGGGTGATCTTTCATATTCTATAATTCAGTCTTTCATAACAGATGCTGTATAATCAAAATACTGAAGGATTTTAAGTTTAAATGACACAAGATAAACACAGGGTGATTCAAAAGTCTCACAAAATCAGCAACAGGCATCACCACTGTAACTTTTGAACGAATTGACATAGGGACTTGAAATTTGGTGATTCTTTCGAGGTCAAAGGAAACGACTTTGAGGAGTCCCCAAAACTTTGAGTGGACCACCCTGAAAAGGAGCAAAAGTGGGACTTCTAGATCACCCTGTGTGATGATAAGCCTTTTTTTTTCAGCAGACTGTCATTTTGGTACCATTTTGAGACTATCACTCCTGATGTGACAATACTGACGATCTGACATGAAATGAATTAAATACAAAAATTTTGTGAACTGAATGCAAAATTTTATCAGAGAAAAATTATTGCATCCGAGGCCAATATCAAAATATCAGTTGAATGCAATATTTCCCCTGAGAATGCCCTGTTTTCAATGCACAATTTCTTAGATCAAAATTAAGATTTAAGCTGTTACAGTCATGAGAAAATAGAGATGCTCTCCCTAAACTGCGAATGTGACAGTTACCTACGGGCCAATTATTGAAAGTTTAAAGCAGCCAGACAAGACATCAAATTGCGATATATTGCATGGTTAAGATAGAGCTATGTCTTGTCGTGTCAGGCCGACATGGTTTCAATAATCCGACCGCTGGTAGTTCAAGCAATACCAATCAATGCCATAAATCACGATTTGATTACTGTCAGATCGAGAAGATTGCCTTTTAGTGAAAATAAATTTTTGCATTCATTGATCATGAAGGAAATGATTTCATTTCATTTTTTTGTTTCAACTCCCTCCAAATATTAGTTTAATTCAGATGCCTAAAAATATTCAAATTCCTGTTTTTAGGTTCAGATCTTGTGAACCTAGAAGAATGTTTGTTAAAAATAGTTAATGCCATACCCTGCTTTACACTCAATAGTTTTGAACATAAAAAAAGGGGTTGCATTGGACTTATTACTTAATTTGATTACTTGAATAAATTAATTAATAAATTTGGTACAAGAGTGGTTATGATTTCCTGATATAAATATATGTAATAAAAACAAAAACAAAAACAATGACGGATCCGTTACAAAATTTTGTCATAGTGAGAGAAAGAGACCTTGCTAGCATGAAAAGACTAAAAAATAACAACAAACATATCTGTTAAGTCTAAAATTCACCTCTAACTTCATAATCTGCGTAAGCAATTTGCGCTACTATCTTCAAAAAGTATACTACAGCAAAGACTTAAATTGATGTAAATGAGCCACCGCTGTTTCAAAAAGTATGCAAAATTGACCACCATCAGGTTTCTCAGAATTATAATTAAAAATGGACAACATGACAAACACCATTTAACTGACAACATCACTTCTATGCTTTCTATATTAAGTTTAAAGAGTAAAAGTAATCTTGTTCCTTTATATTGTTGAGACTGTGTCACCAAATAGAAGCCATTTCTTGCCTTGCATTGAGTCGTGAAACCACAGTGGCTAATCTCAATCACATTATGTTTTTGCCGTACAGGATTGCCATGTAATTTAAAAATGAATTTTCCAGACAAATTTTTGTGAAATTCTCTTGCAATCGCAGATATGTCAGATGGTTAAAAAGACATAAATTGAGATAGTTTTTAGGCAAAATTTGTGAATCGAAACTTCAAACCCAATCTAGAGAGCAAATAAATATGACTTAACATTTTTCCCTGACACTTTCGTCTTTCTCCTAATATTTCCTAGTTTCCCTCGTATTCCCTGACTGCAGAAACCCTGGTAGTATACTGTTTTGAGTAGGAAGCTAAAAAATGCACTAAATTTCTTACACAAATTGTTAATAAAGGAGTGAGTTTTAGACTTTCCTGGATGTGCACATTGCGATTTCCAAGCCGTACTCCAACCGAAAAAGCCTCTCTTATTGTTCTTGCAAAAGTTTGCAACAGACCCATTGTGACTGTTCACAGGCAAAAGGACCTTAGTACTGGAAAACTCAAAAGGAGATATCGCTACAGCTGCTTATTAAGAGGGACATTTCACAAACATTTTGGTTGAAAACTTCCAAAGGCAGTTTGAAGGTTGCAATCTCAAAACTGGTTTTTGGAAATTTCTATGATAAGAACTCAAAATTGTCCAATGATGATGAAACTTTAATCCCTTCATTATCATAAAATTGAACCAAACCGTTTGAAAATAATTTTTTTCAATGCTAAAGAATATTTTTTCAGAACCTTCAAATTCATTTTTAAGAGCAATTATGACTAAACACTTTCCTGAAAAATGAATCTCAGTGCAAAGGTCTCTGTACTTGTGGACGGTCACAATTGGTAAAAATTACTTTTTGAAAATTCTATTATGATTATTTCAAGTAACTTTGGTTATTGGATCACAGGGCAAGTTACTTAAAATAAAATTCACATGATCGTGAAATCAACATTGATTTCAGTGAAAAAGTGGTCAATTTTTTAGCATTATGTAACATCCGAATTGCTTTTCCCCGACATTTTGTCGACTAACTTTGTAATCAAATCTGAATCAACAAGCCCTACAAACTTATCCACAACTAGGCCGTTCCTGATGGCCAAAACGGCAGGGACAGCCTTGACTTCAAACGCATGAACTAGCTCTGGGTTCTTTTCTACGTCCACAATGGCTAGATCGACAGCTTCTGACTCATCAACAAGGCCTTTCAGCTGTGGGGTGAGAAGCTGGCATGGTTCACACCATTCTGCATGGAAATTGACAATCACCGGAACATTTGAATTCATCACGCGAGTGACAAAGTCATCGTTGTCTTTTATGATGAAGCTCTTGAAGTGTTTTGAAATGGTAAACAGGCTAGGCGTGCTGATGATAGTCTTGGCGCGGTGTAGGACGTTCATTTTGCTGGGATCGGTTGATGAACTGATAAGTGCCTGGCAAGGTCTCGGTTTCAGCTCAGTCCTCTGAGATGAACTGGAATAAATGTAAAATGTTCGTATTAAAAAGGATAAGAGAGAAAAATACAACACAAATTAGGGGTGAGAGTGAGAGAGACTAATCTGAAAGCTGAGCTAAATGTTGCTCCTGTTTGCTTTCTCCTCGAAAAGAATAATTCAGCAGCTAACCCTTTTGCGGTCCAAAGTCAAACATATCAGACATCTCAAAAAAAACAGGTTCGATGTCGGATATGGTCACTCAAAAGTTTGAGCTTAAGTGCAGGTCTGTTGTCAGATATTTACGACCCTTCCAGCATATGGTGGCCCTGATGAACTTTCTGGGAATTAGTATCAGCCAATTTCCTGTAAAAATATGAGGATCTGCAATGGCCGGGGCAATATAGCCGAAGACCGGAAAGGATTAACAAGCGACAATTTTCAAGGAACAGTTTTACATAGTGAATATTGTTTTTATATGAAATTGAAAATTCTCTCCTTCAGAGCATCGACAGCACCCTGAAGCTTCCCTAAGATGAGTTCTATACTGAACGCCAAATTTGGTGGCTTTTTTGACATTTTAGCTCAATAAAAACAATAGTTGAAAATAGAAATAGGGGTCGTCCCCAAAATGCGTAATATTCTAGGGGAAAGGACGTCTGAATCTGCCCTGCAGGTGAGTTATAAGGGGAAGGGGCCGCGTTACATTATTCTTGAATGGGCTCACAGTGCCAAATTTTTGGAAACCTAACGTGTAAAATCGATGCAAGATGGCAATTTTTTATCCAAAATTGATCACATAACGCTACTTTAAGGGATGATGGATCAGACTGAGCGGTACTACATTTTTGAAGAGGAAGTAGACTTATGTTTTGGGTGTTTGAGGACGGGGACGGGTACAAACAATTCTATTTTCAGTATTTTATGAGCAGCTCCAGGTGAACATAGAATGTTAATTGTGAGTTTCAAGAAGATTGGAATAGCTGAAATTAACTAGGTATTTCATTACAAATTAAAATTTCCGAAATTTTTCCTGAAAGGACGATTCACAAGAAAAAATAAATTACCATTTGAGCTCTCCACAAATGAGAGGAACAATGAATTTTTGGCTTTTGATCGATGGCGTTCATGCGATTACAGATACCATCCTTTGATGGCCTGGGCTTGTTTTGGTTCCATGAGATGAGTAGTCACAAACATTCCAAAACCAACGACAGATGATAGACCAAGCAGGACTAGAAGGCTTGAGCGCCAAATGAATATTCCATCATAAATCTGAAAAATATCAGACAGTTATTAACAAAATTCAGTCAAAGCATGCACAAACTGTTGAAAACATTCTCAAACTATGGCAAGGTAGGGTATAGCCAAAAAAAAAAATAAAACAACCTTGATACTACAGCTTATTTTTTTAAAATGGGTGGTTCAATTAACTTTCACAGAAAAAAAAATCAAGAATATCAGAATACCTACCGCAGCATATTTAAGTAAGAAGAGTAAATTCAAAAATCAAATTAATGTAATTGAAAAATCTTTAACATCAAACAAAAAATGAGCTTTTGAAAGTAAATTAAGGCTTACAATGAAGGAGAAATGAGTGCTATGAAACGGATTATGTTATCTGGTGTCTGAAGATAAAAATGAATCCATCATTTCATTGACAAAAAACAGTGCTTTTCAGGCAGTCCTATGCCTGGGCAACATTGTAGGCAATGTTAAATTTCTGTGAGGAATGAACTATGCACACAATATCTGACTTTTCAATTTTGCTTACTTATATACTTACTTACTTTAAGTATATTACTCTTCAATATGATGTTCTTTACAGCCTCTTAAGCATGATTAGCTTTTATAATCTAACTTTCTGAGAACCTATCTTAAGACAACAGGGCTGAATAGCAAGTTTTTTGGTATTTTGCACTCAATATCTAGTAAAAATACTGCACCATCTTGTCAATGATCAAGTAGAACTCGTATTACCTGGCAGGTCAGAAAAATAAGACAGACAAAGAGAATCAAATTCCTCCGAAAAATAACAGCTTGCAGTGCAGCTACCACACAGACATAGTCACAGTTTCACAACTCAATCAGAAAACTTGTGCCTACATGAAGGCCAAATAATACAGTCTTCAGCCCTGCTTTTCTATACATAGGCACAAAGAAATTGAAAGTTCGATTTTAAAAGCTGATCATGTGCGGGAAATTATAAGGAACATCGTTTCAAATAATACCAAAATTTAGCTGGCACCGAATTTCTTGGTGTTGTATGCGTAGTCTTTTATTGAGATACAATAGTTCAAAAACTGTTTCATGACATCGGAGGTGTAATAACTTTCGGCAAAATTTCAATGGTACTTATAACATTTAACATGCTTCCAACAAAGAAGTTTTTATCCCATTAGAAGCAAAATCAAGAGATGGTAACTGTCAGAGGCTTATGAATGATTCATATCACTCTCAAAACTCGATTTTTTACTGGTCTGTATCATCATGTAAAGCAAGAATGGCTGAAGATAGTAGTCAAATATTGTGATTGATAACTGAAATTTAAATGCATGCATGAAAAAATAATTTCAACATTAGAGAGGCCTGGAACTCATAAGTTACACCATTTTCCGAGTAAAACTTGATTTCTTTTTAAATTAGATGTTTCCATGCACTCAGAGGCAAATTTTCAAGGGCTTTTTTTTTTTTTTTATTTTCTTTCCATGTTCTTTCTTTTACTGCAATGGTCATTGTCCAACCAAGAGCGATAAAATCAGCGCAGGAATGTGAAACTTTCCATCGAAAGTGGGATACCTTTATTTCTTGAAAATGACGCATTTAGCTGGGTGCAATGGGTTTGTAAGATGAGAACAATTTTTTAGTTGCGGAATTTTAGATTTACTTACTCTGATTGCTCTTCATACTAATTTTGAGAACAAGAGGTTCATTTTTTAATGAGGTACAGGATATTCAGTCAAAATACACTAATGATGTGGCGGGAAATTATATTGTGCACAGCAAAATAAAAAAAATGAATGTATCGGAGAGCTTTTGAACTACGGAGGTGCAACTTTGCTGAAGTTCGTAATTTGCTTCATTGATTACTCAGAACAATATTCATCATGATCTGTGATGGTGGGTTGCGTGGCCTGAACGAACCCACAAGGAATGACCTCAGGAAAATGGGCAATTTTCCTCTTTTTTTCCGAGCATTAAATTTCTTTCTTTCTATCTTTCTTCATTTCATATTTCTTGTCCTTCATATAAGTGAAATTTCTTTCTCTTTTATTTCAAAGTGATGAGAGGAAAACAAATAGAATAGATTAAAGGTTGATTACTTTCGAGTTATGAGGTTGAGCATTCTGTTTACCCCAATGAGATATATGAGGTTGAGCATTCTGTTTACCCCAATGAGACATTCTTCAACTCTGGGACTAAATGTACTCAGAATTTTTCAAAAATGAAAAAAAATAGGAGCCACATGTTAGTGAACTTCGAAAATTGAATATTAATAGAGTAAATTTTTCTTCAAAAGTACCAGCAGGTTACCAAAGTGAATGGCTCAACTATACCTCCTTAGGGCTCTTCTCTTCTTGAAAATTACCACGGGGGATTGACAAAAGAATGCAAGTGATGAAACAAGCGCACAGGATTGACACCAGACCAATACTCCGTTGCGTTCGTATTGAAATGAGGCAAAGAACAACAGCCAGGCACCAAACAGCAATTAAAATGAAAGATCCAAGGCCAGTTCCAAAAATTAGCTCTGACATTCCTAGAACCAAAAAGAGACAAAATTATCCACCGGCTTCGTAGATATAAAACCATCTGCAAGCGGACCTTTCAGCCTCAACAGTAAGTAATAAGAGGTGTTGTCAGATAAGTTGGCAGTTGTTTACTTTTGATTTGCAGGAATTTTCGCATCACTACTATCCACATGAAAACATCTGACTCTCGCAGAAGCCAGAACACAAGCTTGGATAGGTTTTTTAATACCTTCAAACCTTTTAACACTTTAATTTTTAGCCACACAGAAATTGCAACAATATAAAAGTTGTGTGGATCATAACTAAGTACTGATAAGTAGTTTTTTCACGATTCGATCATGAAACGGATGTTTTTAAGGTAGACAGTAGCAGACGTCGCTTTATAAATTGCCGCCAGTGTGAATTCGTTATCAGTGCTTGCAAACTGAAAGTAAATAATTGCAAACTTATCTGACAGCACCTCCACCCGAATCAATACCACCAGACTAATGCTCCAGTTTGAGCATCTGGAGGGGGCTAGGGCACGCATTAATCTGTTGAGTGGTGCTGATTTAGAGCTAATCAAAAATTGACATTGGTCTCAGCATTTGATAGACATGCTCTTGAAAGATAGGATTAACTTTGAATGAGAAATAGATGGTTTCTGAAGGAACAAAGGCTTGTCCTTCAAAGATTAATGGGCAGAAAAATTAGAGCCAAAGCTGGAAACTGCAAGGACATCCAGCAGTTGTCAAATTTTACTGATATCAGATGGTAGAATTTTGGTCTCAACCTGGTGCAAACATGTACGTAGGGACAGACCTCTAGTTAATTCATATTTTTAATATTTTCATATTCCATCACTTGTCTCCATCTTCACATCTGGTGATGCACAGACAGAGGTTGATAAGACTTCTTAACAAGTTAAATTGAGTATTGATAGGAATACTTGAGCTTTTCAGAACAAGGAAAAGAATTAAAATCAATGCGTCAAGTGGCTGACCTATTCTCCTTGAGCCAAATGCTGCTAGACAAATTGCGACATAACTTCGCATTAAGGTGCTGAAATTGTAGCAGGTTAGTCTTAGAAGACAAGGATAACAAAATATACCAGAGGCTGTGACTGTGTCTTAGCTATGAAAGGAATAACTTGCAAACCTGATTATGCGAAAAGAGACATCTCATCTCAAACGACTGAGGGAACTTGTGTGTTGCATGAAGATTTGGTATACGGCAATACCTTAGACACCGACAGGGAGAGATTGATGAACTAAATAAATACCATAAGGTCCCATAGAGTGGAAAAGAAAAGGGGATGAGGGACAAGACAGCACGGGAATGTTTCAAACTTCTAGTCTCAATCTTTCATGGTTTTTTAAACTTATTTGGTTGGTGAGATAAAATTTAAGGTTAGAATGGTTGGTGACGCAAAGAAAAACAACTGAAGGGACTGTTGCCGGACTGATACAAAAGTTTTCTTTTTTGAAGCGTCGTTGTTGTGTTCTGTGTAGGTTAGGTTGTCCGCAAGCATAGAATAATAAGGCTACGCCTATAGAAAGGACACTCTCGCAGATTTCGTGACGAAGAAGAAGAACAGGGACCTGGAGCTCTTGAGCTAGAGCTGGCGGGTATTGTTTACATTCAGAAATGAAAATGGCGGCAATAGCCAACTGTAACACTCTAACTGTAGCTGATCACATGTGATTTTATCAGTCATCTGGCCAGCATGAGCACGACGAGGCTGTGGAAATCGTTT